CAGGAACTTTGCAAACCAAATTCCTGCCCTGAATCTTCCTCGATTTGTATGACTCTGGACCAGGCATTTACCTTCTTGACAAACTCATTATTTTTATATGTAAAATAAGAGATTTAACTAGATGATACCTGAGGTCTCTTTTGGCTAGAAAATTTAGTATCAAATGTCACATTGAAGTTTAAATAGTAATACTTGCCATTGATAAATTTTAGAAAGGTAATCTCATTTGATATGGGTTCCCTATTGCTATTTTGAGTTGATTTTTCTTGCTTACAGATTTGAAATGCTCTTGTCCTTGAAATTGCACATTTTTATCTTAATGTAATGAACTCTGTTGTTATTCTTCTGGACAGTAAGAGCTTTTCAATATAAATGAAGTCTGGTAAATTCTGAGCATAATGATTCCCTAACACTTCTCATAAACATGCCTATTATATGAGATAAAAATATATCTATACTGTGTCATGTTTGAATGCAGTATTCCTTGTTTATGTTTGCAAGTACCTATCTTGTGTTCACTGATTACACTTAGTTCACGGAAGAAGAGCTATCACACGGGGCTGGAAATCCTATTGGTGCAGGATATATAGCCTTTTGACAGCCTCTTTCAGTAATTGACTACAATGCTGTGGCAGAATCTACCTACTCAGTCAAGGAATAAATAAGCTTTGAATACCATGTTTGAGCAGGTTGCCAAAGAACAGCCATTTTTGATAGGCAAATGAGACAAAAATGCTGACATTCTTTTTTGGTGCATCTTAAGAGCTAGATTCTTCTTCTTCCTATAATAGAGTTTACCAAAATGGCCAAGTCTGTGTTCTTATTTGCCAGGCTAAAAATTTAGTGTTAGATTGCAAAAATTCATCTGTTTCTTTGTTGTCTTGCAGTATATTTTAAGTGACTGTGATATTTTCTTGTTTTTTAAATCCTAGGCATCAAACAGTGCCTCCTATATCCAGGATGCCTTTCAGCTACTCTTACCTGTGCTAGAAATCTCTCTCATTGAGAACAAGACTGAATCACCCAGACGTGAGCTGCAGAGCCAGAAG